GTCGACAGTTGAAAAGACTTCTGGCTAAGCCCGACAAAACAATATTATTATAAGGTTTTAGCAAAAAGCACCACCATCTCAAGAGGGAGTCAGAATAATGAACTGCAACCCCACAGAGCTCCTGAATATTCAGATACGAACTTAGGGATACTAAAAGAGAGGAATAAAAGTTATCCATATAAAATTTATATATTGAGTAAAGATAGGTATTACTAATTTATAAAATATCGTCATATCGATAGATTCCGATAATAAACGATGACATTTAAACAATTAATATATATATATATATATATATATATATATATATATATATATATATATATAAATCTCTATTTTTTATTTAACAATGCATTAAAAATTGTACATTAAAGAACGGTCGTACAAAATTATATCAATACAAAACCCTGATTAGTAAAAGTAGTAGATGAGGCGGTATATCAAAATCATCAAAAAATGGACATTCCAAAAGTATAAAAATAAAATAAACTAGAAGCCATGGAGACAGCTTATTGCTGAAACAGCTCGTTTTATTAATAAATATGAAGTAAATACAAAAATGAAATCCACATTCAGACCATAAAAATTTTTTTTAGAAGAGCACGAATATGGTTTGTATTGAATTACCATAAAATATGATTTAGAAACTAGTGATAGTTTTTCAAGGATCATATGAACATCTTTCTAGATGCTGATATAAGAAACCATTACCCATATAAAAAGTTATTGAAACATTTTTAACTTCCCGTAGGGTAAGTTATAGTAATCGCAAAAAAATCGAAAATGAAAATTTTTATATATCTTTACGTTTCAAAGGTTTCTGAACATTTTGGCATACCTTAGAAAAAATGGATGGATGTATGTGTGAGTGTGTATGTGTATACAAATTTTCGTCGACGATTTCGGGAACACGGATGAAGCGATTTGAATAATTCAAAAAACATTCGATTCGTATTGATAAAAGGAGACGTGCTAATTAGTTTTTGGCGACGGCAGGTCTAACCGTTCCGAAAATATCGGGCAAAAAGTGCCAGAAACGGTAACTCAGTTTTTAAGAGAACGGAGAAAAAAAATGCCATCTGGCGGTCAAAAATGATCATTAGACATATGCACATCAAATTATCAGATATTTTATAGAGATTTTAACATTAGGTATGAATTTTGTTTGCATTCCTATGGGTTCCGTACCAAGGCTTATCCGTTAGACGGCGGCGCGGCACTTACGCGCTTCGATATTTCGTCTCTATGCAGTTAAAGCAGTACTATTGCTTTGAAAAAAAGTTCAGAATTTCCAAAATATTTCAAAATACACTTTTCGTCAAAATTAGATTCTTTGAGAAATTATAAATTTTTATCAAAAATTTATAGTTTCTCAAAAAAACTAATTTTTCAGAGTAAATTTTTTTCAAAAATGTTAATCATTAAAAAAAAATTTTTTTTTGGTACGGAAAGTTCCAGCAATTTGCCTTAAGGCACCCACTAGTTGTTCATAAATATTCAATCTAAAAAAAACTCACAAATTTTATAAAGATCATGAACACCTATCCTCAAAAGCAGTTCTGTCTGGTCTGCAAATGAATGAATCATTCTCTGGGTGCTGACGAGCGCATGTGAATGTCCGTCTTCTATGATCAAAGTACCGTTACACAGTATCACACTTCTCGAGTAGGTCGTGTACCAATAACATATGACAAAAATGTCATAGAAAGTAACAATTCCTTATGCAAAACCAAATGAATATTGTACTGAATTACATATTCAAGTTTAATATATTTCACAAAAAGTATTTAAAACTTACATATTAAAAATATTACTTGATTATTTAATAAAATCAAAATAGTAATCAAACTATCAAATCTAATATGTTCCTCGTTTATGGGTTCTTTCTATTACTTGCACTTAAAAAGATGCAAACTAGTGCGCAACTAAATATGTTTTTAATATTTTGTAATAATTTTGAATCTTTTTCATCCATAGACACATGAGTTTAAAAAGCTATTGAGAAGTTTGTCATGATACATATAACACTAATTTTAAAACTAATCATGTATGTTACTTTACATCCACAACTGCAAAAACTCCATCATGCAGAAAAATATATATTTTGTGTGAGGTGGAAGTACTTGTGGCAGACAATTGCCTGCTTCAGTAATATTTGCCAATTTATTGATCAATAAATTAACCAATTTATGGAATTAGCAATTCTTAATTGTCTTAGATATAAATAATAATGAATTAGGTACTGCTATTCATCATTTTTGTTTGCACCCATCACATTTGACAATCTACCGATCAGTGGAAAATAGGAAATTGGACATATTCAAATCCAATACATAAGGAACATAAAAATAGACTTATTCAAATTAAATGAAAACGAAATGTTAGTTACAAAAGCGTATGCATCTTCATATTTAATATAAATATGACATTGCAGATGGCCATGTTGGTGAATCAATTGAATCAACAACCAGTAACATGAACCGTAACGTGAATCAACTGAACCAACAACTGATTTTAGCCAAATTAATATCGATGAAAATTCTTTAAATATAAATGTAATTTCTTCGGGCCAAAAGCAAATACCCATTTTTCTGGCACAAAATAGTTGCGCATACCACAGCTTTTATGAAACAAAAAATAATACTGTTATATATTATTTGCTTTTATTAAAGCCTTTTTTAGCTTGGGATTGACAATTATACTTTAAAAATTATTTTTATAAAATAGTTGAAGAAAAAATTCTAGAGCAAGGTATTTATTACTCACACTCCAATTAATTCAAAAACGAATATAAATTGTCAATAGTTTAAAAATTTCTTTTCTTAAGTTGATTTTGAAAATATAAAAATACTCAAATTGCCGAGGATTCCACCAAAAAACTTATGATTCTTATAAAAATTCACATATCAATCAATGTCAGCAGAAAAAACAAAATCTAGTGCTTTACAAGGTAAAATTTATACGAAAGAGAAAAAAATGCGTATGAAGAAATTTAAAGTTGCTTAGTAAATTATAATAACTGGACAATCAAAAATAATTACACTATAAGTCCATAAAAAAAACTTTAATTATAAAATACAATTAATTCATAAAAAATGTAAAAAATTTGGTTGCACATAGCTCCAACTAGGACAATTACTATCAAATCAACTGAAGATAAATTGAAATACACGGAAAAAATTAGACTCTGTTCGTTAGCCTATAATTACTTTGTTTTAATATTCATGTAGAAAGTTGAATATACTACACAGTATTAATACAATAATAAGTATAAAAAATATTTAAAAAATGAATAAAAAATAAAGTAGGCAAGACAGTATCTTAAGAAACTCTAAAAAATATTCAACCATCTTTATGCAATCTTAAATCTATTAAAAGTCTCACATTCCGCAAATTTCTCAAATTTCACATATCAATTAATGGTATCATTTTATCAAAATTAATGATATTTATTGTTTCGTCAAACAGCAATTTTGGAAAGAACTAATAGAGTTTACAAAGTCAAAAGAATGCTAAGTACAGTGTGCTGCCAATAATAGTAATATAATAATAATAATTTTGTATTATATGTCGTTTACATAAAACGTGAAACGTAGATTTTTTTTAAATTTTATTTTCAATAGCAATCAGAATGCATAACAATTCTATGAGCTATTTGGCTTATGTCATTTACTACGTAGAGAAAATAAACTCTAAAAATGAATACAAATAATATTGATGCTGACACTTGAAAAAAAAATTAATAGTTGCATAAACTAAAACAAATGACGGAAGTAATAAAACATATGAAAACAATAATTTAATAAAAATGTTTCTTAAAAGTATCATTATTTTATATTATGTATATTGAATAAATCAAAAACATGTAATATCGCTGTTAATTCATATTGCTTGATAAGAAAATAAATATTGTTGAAAACACAGTATTGGGGTTCCGTATAAAAAGTTTAATATTATTAAAATAACATCAATGTGTTTTGTCTTAAAGAAAAACGGTTGATATAACAAAAAACATTACACTATTGAAAATATTTTATTCTCAAAAATATGCGTCAATTATAAACGAGTATATAACTAAAGTCATTATTAAAAAAATTATATTCAATAATAATTTATTACTTTTATTTTAGATTTATATGGATCATACATAGCATAGATAAAAACGATTAAATTTACTTCATAAAATAATGTTTGTGTAATTCTCAACAAAAATAATTGATATATAAAAAAATTGATGAGAGATTGATATATAAAAAAATATATTTCCTCATTTTATGATCTCTTATCAGCAAAGAATTTTTATAACATATATTTTTTATATCCTTTATACGACGTTCGAAAAATATTAATTGAAACTTTGTTAAATTTAAAAAAATTAATTGAAATCAAAAAAAACTTTTTTTAACAAATAATTTTTTATAAATAACATACATACTATTTATATACTTCGCATTTAAGCATTATATGAAACTTGCTTCCATTTTTTTACAATTCTCAACTAGCATAATCGTAAGTGTCTATTTCTATATTTTCTAATATATTTTGAAGATATGAATCTTATCTAAAATTTGTGTCAATCCCGGATAAACAACTTGAATCCTGGAAAAATATTGTTTCTAAAAAAATCCGGGACCCAAGGTGCAATTCCGGGATTGCCCAAGCCAATCTGTGATGTGTGACTAATAATAACACTATAACTATAATAATAGTAATAACAATAATATAACACTATAAACATAAACCCAAAAGTCTTGGATCAAGATACCAAATATCAATATACTGAAATTTCAATAAGTAAGCTTTAGGAATGCAAAGTCTAAACATGGAAGGTAGTCATATTCTATCACAAAGATAAATAAATATTCTGGAAATTTGATATGCGATTTCAAATAAAACCAAGATAACTTCACATAGTGAAAAACTTTGAATAAACAAATACAATCGCCAACAGATTGTCATGGTCAGTGTATTAGAAATTATCTAGAACCTACTAAAGTTACCTGAAATATAGCCAATTTTCCACCATCACTCAATACTTTACATATCACTTGATAACACTGAATATTTTTTCACATAATATTCAATTGTTAGAACCAATAAAGCTCCATAAACTATTAACTTGGTAGATCATTAGTAGGTGGTTGTGCAGGTATTTGAAGCTCACGTATCATTATCAGTTCTGCAACAAAATGAAATAAATTATTGAGTTAAAATTTTATCAGTTATTTTACGAAATACTACTCACATTTTATCAAAATGTGATAAGAAGGTGATTCACATGATAATGAAAGAACAACAGGTAGAGATTATTTTTTATGTTATAATAAAATATCATTAGTCATTAATGACCCCAGATATAAATATGTACAAAAAGCAGTATAATATATAATCGCATTATTCATTGACAGTGTTAAAAAAAATCAGATGACAATCGATTAGATAGCCGTAAACAATCTATATGGTCTTTTCTGGAAAAAAATGTTTTTAGCGCACTTTCAAAACTACACCATTGCTTCTTTTCGTTTCGATAAATACACCATTCATAAAATAAAATAATTGCCAAATTTCACAGTATATGGCAATATACACTCCATTATCATATCTTATAACAATAAACATGTTAGAAAAAAAATTAAATTTAAAGCGGACCAAAAAAAATTTGATCGTGAAGCGAAATTTTCTATTTTAAAAAATAGTGTCATGTATTCATAGATTTGGACTCTCGGAGGTAAATAATTTTTGCTTCTCAAATCTAATATTGTGATTGACTATCGATAAAATAATAATAAAAATTATAATTAATATTCTTCAAAAAAAAAAGATTTTTTAAACGAATTTTATACTCAATTCTATTAAATTTCTTTGGAGACATAGCAAATAAATAACGCAAATAAAAAGTGCTTTAAAAATTTTGACAAGGTATAAGTTTCCAAAAACATATATTCGTTAATTTATATTATTATTATTTTTGTAAGTGAATATATGATGAACATTGGAATTTTGCAAATTTTGTTATATTAAATACAGATATAATTGATCTTTATGTACATTCTTGTTTGTTTTCTGCAGCTAAAAATACTGCTAACAAATTCAAAAATAACTATTTAAACAAAATATTAGATATTTATCTTTGATTGGAACAATTGTAATGTGTAACATTCAATCAGAATATAAATTAATTCATAGATATTTAGTCATTATCGAAAATGTTTATATCACGATAACGTAGATATAATATAATTAATCTTGTTAAACCTTATTCTTTTTATATCAATAAAAGTCAGCAGCAGATTCTTGACTTATTTATTTAATTACATTGATATAAAAAATTATTCAACATACCATTAAAAGTTAACACAAGTTAAATTTATTTTCATTGTTTATAATAAAATTCTTCTAAAAAATCACATTGTAATTATAAAATGTATTCTGCAGAAAGTGAGAAGAATATAATCGGAAGATTAAATATAATTTCCAAAATTTCTTACACAGTTCAAAATTGATTCAATATAGAATATTTCATAATAAAATATAGATTTAGTAAAATTGATGTTTTTCAGACCGTTAGAAATACTGTTAGAAAGTACGAAAATATGTTTGCCCACGCTATAAGAAATTATTAGTTCATTTTACCAAATGTTTCTCTAAGTCTTAATTCAATTCAGTTGAATATTATTATATGCATTTATTATATAATAAATAACATTATTCTAAACAGCTTAAAAATATAATAAATTATCATCCAAATAAGAACCAAATTATTAGAATATCACCGGAAAAGTTGTGGGCGTTCCATGAACATTATGAAAATATACAAATTATAAGTTTTGAAATGTTCATTTTTGAACAAAACTTTTCAGAAGGAATTTCATTATATAAAAGATATATAAAAGAACTTCAAATTCAAACAGAACACATTAGTGAAAAAAATTCATTATACTCAACCCATCAATAAAATATTATATTTAACAAAATTATAAAGACTTCGAAATTTAATAAATATTTGCATTTCAATATAGTTTTATTAAGAAGTCAACGCCATAGTGGATGCAGAAGGTACACTATAAAAGATGTACAATATTTAATAAGCTTTTATTAGAACAAAAATAAAAACCGAGAAAAATATCTATAAGAGTTCTGCAAAACAAAACAAAAACACCAATATTCAGATAATTCAGCACTTTCAAAATAAAACTAAGCAACTATATGTGCACCAAGATATATTCTTATTTGCAGAATGATGGAGAAGCAGAAATTGAAGATAAGATATATATATTTAAAAAAATATTTGAGTTTTTTTTCGATCGTAGATTAGAAAAATTATTTGAGCTTTATATTGCAATTTAACTATATTCATAGCTATTGATTTCATTTTATTATTATTATTTTGATTTTAGTTTCCATATCAAAAGATGATCATTTTTTTTATTAAATTTTAATTATATTAATTCTTTGACAATTTGTTCATATCAAAAGACGATGCGGAAAATATAAAATTTTGATTTATATGACATATATTTCAGTTGGATCAACCCAGGGCATACAGTTGCAGAAGGTACCAAATTGAGGGCCAGAAGCTGGTGAAGAAAATGTGAAAGAAATATAAGTTTTTTATATAAGTATAGGGAATATAAATATGCAAACACCATGAATAAATTTTGAATGAAAGTCTATGAGTTAAAATATAAAATGTTAAATTCAGTCCAATTTATTATTTCCATAGAAAAATAGTAAAAGCAATATCAAGACACCCGTGTAAGTTTCATCAAAAAGTTATTCATAATTGTAACTTTGTGTAAGAAATGTTATTCAAAAAGTTATAACCACTTTATGTAAAAAAATAATTGGCATAGAAAAACAAGATAAATTACAGAAAAATGCAGTTCATACTCACAATCAGTAAAAATTTAATATAAACACTAAAACATAAAAAACAAAATTTTTATTCGTAAAAATACAGCATTATTAGTATTATTAATCTTCTTGTAAGCTTTATTTTTATACGTAATCATTTTATGAGTGCCTGCCATATTTATTAAAAACATTTTGCACATTATTTTTGGGAACAATATTTTCTAATTACAGTAAATAACATAATTAAAATTACACCGTACCGTAATAAGATGTTAAGAAAAAAATACGTCAATAATTATAATTATAGAAGAAATATAAAAATTTTATCAAAGGTCAAAATTGATTGTAGTTTGTTTGTGAAACATTCATACACGTAAAAAACATGCACCAAAAGTACAAAAGCAATATTTTGAAAATGAATGAAACAGATTGCAACTAATTATAAGCACAACTTAATAAAGTACAATTAGTATAAAAAAAACATTGGAGAATCAGATATCGCCGAAAAAAAGAATTCAAAAATTAACCATTAGAAATTCACATATACGGAGACTAATTTATGTGAGATATTTTTAAATATTATACGCAATTATGATATAGAGTTTTAGGAAGATTTGATCAATAAGGAAATATAAACGAATTATAAAACCGTTAATAGTGACAAAAAATCAAATTATAATCGCCAAAAATAACGAACAGTTACTGATGAAACTAGAACATCAATCATAAATAATATGTTCTTTAAAAATTTTTGGAAACAAAAATTCAGTCAATATATATATATATATATATATATATATATATATATATATATATATACGAGATATATATATATATATATATATGTGTGTGTTTCAGACATTCAATCATTGACCTTGGCGCCGAATCAGACATTTTCATCTCTCTCAAGCCCTTATATTTCATCCCTTCTGTCTGGAGTAAATTGTAACAAATACACAAAATATACAAATAAACGATCCACCATATGAATAAAAATTTAAAAGTTTACTATAAACAAACTAAAGAACATCATGTAGAACTATTCAAGAAGACTTTTTTATTAATTTATGAAAGAATAAAAAGACAAATTCTTAAAAATTAAATAAAAATTAACACATCATAAAAGTTTTTTTAAGCAAATAAAAATAACAAAACTAAAAATAAATAAATAAATGAATATTTCCATAGATTAATTCAGTTCGAACTGCATTTTACGCAGCACATTTTTCTTCTATAATTAGTTGTTAAAACGAGTATATATTTGTTTGGCTAAAAATAGTTGAAAAATTAGTATCAAATGTCATCTTATATAGTTAGCCAAATGATATTGATTATAATGCTTAAAAGCAAGATTGAATAGAATAGTAATCTTCTTGATAAAAAACATTAATTGATATTTTTTTAATATTTCAATACATTAATATAGATTTCAATTTTATTTATTAATAATAGTATGCATGGTTTGTCGAAACAACATTCAAGTATTTACTCAAATATACTCATTCATCAACATAAGCAAATTAAATAAACTTTGATTATTTAACAGTTATTATGTTGATAACAATAAATAGAAATCCAAAAATGCAAAAACAATGGCATTGAAATTCAAACATTTATCAACAATTTTTGTTGTTATAAAGTCTAATTGAATAAACAAGCTCGACAAAATATAATGTCTGGTATTTATTGTATTCAATTCAAACGCATCCTATTTTTGTTTCATAGTCATTACTGTATTTATAAACAAAATTTTAAACAATTACATCATAAAAATAAAAAACATCTTCGAAATTATAAATATTTGTTATAATTATAACCTCATAGGAATGCCTTGTTGACTACCGTGTAATAGAATGACATAATCAAATAAATGAATTTGATTAATTTAAAGATTGAAAATGACGACATGTGAATTAAAATATATTTAGCAGTAAATTTTTTTGCGATAACTGATATTAGCAAATTGTTATGAGCTCATAATTGCAGAAACGTGAATAATAAAAACGAGTATCAATAAATCTATGAGTATTTGAAAAAAAAAAAATAAAACTATTACTGAACGTCAAACATGACAATATAATAGATAAATTTTGAATGATGTTGTAGAACAAAAATTGAGAGGCTAGGATTCATTTTTAAAAACGCATGTCTACAAAACTATATTTAGAAACTCAATATTTATGTTGTTTTTATTTGTTACATATGACTAGGAATAATAAGCAACTTAAAAATTTAAATATATATTTTCATAACTTTTTTATGAACATATCATTGTGATAGTAAGTTAAAATACGAGATTGGCCTCAAATATGTAACTATAAAAAA